CACAAGCATCTCCCCCAGGTTACAAAGGCAACTGGCCAGATTTCCCCCTCCTCGATTTCTTTTAAACAAGTTCATAACACAATAGATAAAAGAGAATGGAGGGGGAGAGGAGGGGAACCCTCCTTGCCGAGGCAGCTAAGGCTCAGTGGATTCCCAGCAATGCGGTGAGCGGATTGTCTGCCCCCGGGACTCTCAAAGGAAGGCAATAAAAGGAAGAGAGCGGCGCCGCAGGCAGCGTCTCGGGGAGCCGTCTGCCTCCCGGCCCCTTCGTGTAACGCTTGAACAGGTGCAATATAAAGGATGCTAAACTGGGGATTATTAGGGCTGCTGGAACGCATTTCCTCCCTGCCCTCTGATGAGGAGAGCTTTTTTAAGGAACTATCCGGGGGGATGCGCCAAGCTTTTCAACAGCGCTGCTTGCAAGGGGGAGTTCTGAGCAAAGAGAAAGTTGGCTGGCTAAGAGGCAGCGATGCCGTTTCGGGTCTGTTTTGAAGTTACTGTAAGCGGGGACGAGTTCTCCCGAAGTGCAGTGCCTGTAGCAGGAGAGCAGGGTGGCTGATGGTGTTCCATGGAAAGTGTGTTTCTTCAGGAATGCTGGTCCTTCCAAAGACCCACTTCCAAGTAAAGATTTACCTTCCTGGCCCCTCGCACACATGGCAGCACCTGGAAGTACCTTTGTCTGCTTGTGGGAGCAGAGAGAATGGTCCTGAGTTTGTGAAGTTGCTTCACTCACTATCACAATCAGCTCAGCTCAGAATCCAGCGAAGGATAAGGACAAAAATGCTCCATGTGCTCCAGCAGGTTCATGAATCCCATAAATTTCCTAGGCAAGATGCAATATAATCTTCCTTGGATCTAATTTACATTAATTCTCTTTCAAAACACCAAGGATGTGTTGCAAGAGACTGAAAAAGTGGTCATGCAAATGGGACAACTTCATGTGTCTCTTTTATTGGGGTTCCTGTATGTCCATCCGCTCTGGTGTGTGACCAAACCTTTACTATAGCAGAACTGAGGGTGGGGGCCCCTTTTTTTTTTTTTTTTTTTTTTTCAATGCAGGTGTAGGGATGTTCACGTTGTTGCATTTAAAACTGCTTCTTGGCCCAGCCTGGCCCTGGACAACGTGGTGGCCTGAGAACGGATGAACATGAGTGACTGTGGGGCCTCACTTGGCTCTCAGAGCTGTTCCATGTCCTTGGGTGAATTATTGCAGGCAGCTGGTTTATGAATTCTCTCTTTTTAAATAGATTTGATTACCCAGGTGCTCTGTGCTCTGATTTTCCTCATTTCTCCTGCCTGTTCTGGATGATGCCACCAAGGCCAACGCTGTTTCTCTGGGTGTGCCACATCCCGAGGATGAATGAGATATTGACAGAAATGGTCATTTTAAACAAATAAGTGCAGCCCCGCGCGCCTTGCTTTGCTGCAGGATTTTTTTTTTTTTTTTTTTTTGCCGAAACCCATCTGCTTTTTGGCAACCCCCATGTTGCTCCGCTGGGTGCAAACCTCCAAAGGGGGATTTTTCCTCCAGCTTCCTCGGGAAGATTCTTCACCGAGCAGGTGCCAAGGGGGTCAGGGGAGCCTCGGCGAGCGGGACAGGCGGTGGCGCTCGCGGAGCCCCGAGCTGTCAGCGCGGACTGCCCAGAGCTGGGAATAGGAAAGGAAGGGGAAAAGGGGGGAAAAAAGGAGAGAGGGAAAGAAAGGAGCAGCCCCAAAGCAAAGGGAAGGGGCGGGCGGGGAGCGGAGCGCGCAGAGAATGCAGCGCTCCGCAGGCGCGCAGCCATGATTGCTGTGTGAGTGTGACTGTACGTGTGTGACTGTACGTGTGTGTGTGTGTACGTGTGTGTGTGCGCGCAGGGCCGCGCGTGGAGAGGCGGG